CACTTTAAACTTTCACACAATCACCAATTTTTAATGAATCAAACATTTAAAATTATTTGGTTATTAGCCAAACTGGTGTTGGATCTAGTGGGGAAAAATAGTATTGAAAACATAATTTTTTCTTATTAAATATATATTCCAGAAGCCAGTAACTGCCCAGCAAAGCAGACAGTTGAAAACATCAGCAGATTTTGCTGAGTGATGTGTTAATGTAACTATCAGGCATAAAACTATTGCAGACTTTGAGGAAAAAGAACATTGTGTTGCAACATGGTGGTAGTAGAGTCATGCTTTGGTCCTTCACCTGGATGAGTCACAGTTATTCACTGAACCGTGAATTCTGCTCTTTAGGAATAAAATTGGAAGGACAGTGTTTAAGCAACATTTTTAGACCTTATGCTTCAGCACACTTGTGAAAATGATTCAAAACACACCAGAAGGTTTAAGCACTGAATGAAAAAGGGGGGAAAAAATGAATGTAAAAGATAATCTACTTTAAATTAGTGATGCAAATCTGGTTAAACAAATGTTTAACCATTTGTTAAACATTAAAAAGGTTGTTGATGTTCCAAAACAGAATGTTTTCCTTATTAAAATTGGACTGGAAATATTCCCTCACGCAGAGTTGATTTTCTCATTTGTTTATTTCTTTTGGTTTGGATAAAAAACATATAGTTTTTCAGACCATCAGATTTGTTTTGCTTTTTTTAGGTTAGTGGGAAAATACTATTTCACAACACTTTATGTAAGACATAAATGCTTTATTAAAAAAAAGTTTAATCTGAGGCAGCCATGTTGGATTTTGATGCCAGCAATAGTGAATCTTACTTTTCATGTTAGAGCAGTGGTCTCCAACCCTGGTCCTCAAGATCTACTGTCCTACAGATTTTAGATGCATCCCTGCTTCAACACAGCTGAATCAAATGAATGGCTTGAAAAGGTAATCAATCATTTGATTCAGCTGTGTTGAAGCAAGGATGCATCTAAAATCTGTAGGATAGTAGATCTTGAGGACCAGGGTTGGAGACCACTGTATTAGAGGCTCAACTTCTGAAACTCTGGAATTCACAAAACTCTAACTTAGTTACAGGATTTTTTAATCTTAAGATATTACGCAACACTATAATTTGAAAGACTGTTTTAAAAATGTAATCTGCTCATCAATTTTTTACTCTATTAGATCACTATTTCCACTGCCTTTTGATCATTGCCAAATGGGTTGATGCAGGGAGGGTATCTGGAACTTGAATTGTTCCTGGGAAAATGATCGTCAAAGCTGATAAACAGAAAAAAGGGGCAATGTTGAGATTTATCTAACTGTAAAAAATGTCAAAAAGGAATAACAGCTGTTTTCTTGTGAGTTTAATTAATTATTGTCCACGGATTCAAAGGAACTGACCCCAAGATGCATTTAAAACATTCTAAAGCCTCAAATAATCAAATAAAAAAGTTTTTAAGTGGCATGAAGGGAAAACTGCAGAGTAAAGCAAAAAACATAAATAAAAATAAAGAATAAAATAAAAGGAAAGACTATTGTTTTTGTACAAAAACACTATAAAATAACTAAATGTACTTTTCTATTACTGTTTATATTAGACACAGACCTATGCCTGGTATTCCTGGTTGGTCTCTTTTTCAAACTCTTTTTACACATATATTTGGGGGATTTCCTGCTTTTTTTATTTACCGTTTCTTTCTTTGTGTGTGCTATGCCGAATCACTCTAATGACAGATTGACTTAAATTTTTAAGGTGGGCGGACTCATTATCTGCATTACTCCACAATAATGCAAAACTTCAGACAGTTTGATCCGTTAAACATTTACTGCAGAATTTCCAATGAAATCTTTGAATCCAGTTACCTTTGACCTGGTGCAGCTTTCAGAAGAAAAAAAAAATGCTGGGAATGTGTCTTTCCAAGGAACACAAAAGGTCGGCGCAAAGAAATGTCAAACATATTATTTTTGGCATACTGTGAAAAACAAACATATGACTGCAGACCTTGTTGAGAGATAATAGTACAACCCTGAAGGGATAAGCGGGTATAATCAATAGACGGATGGATAATAAATTATTTATGAAAACAAATGCAACCAACTTCCCTGAAGAATAAAAATATATGTATAAAATAATAGTTTCTAGTTTTAAGTAATTAAAGAAACCTTTCACTAGGTGCTGACTGCTACTTTATATCAGTGATTCCCCTAGTGGCCTGCTTGCAAGGGGTAAAATTAAATCTGTTGTGTTTTGAAGACCCATCTGAAAAATAAAACAAGCTTTTATCAACCAAAACGTAATTTTTTTTATATGTTTGAGTTCACCTTCAGCTTTGCCACGTCAAAACCAAAAAGCTGCAGAGCTGCAAAGCAGCTCAGATGTCATGAATGATGAAACCAATGTAAAATAAATAGTGACTATAGTGTGACTATAATCTTTTTTTCAGTATTTTGTTCCCAATTCATCAAGTTTAAATGTAAATAAAAGGGAGTTACTCTGATGAGCTAAAGGCGGATTTATAATATATTATTTTGTATTTCTTTTTATTCCTTACTATCTTGCGGTCAACATATTTATTTAGGTTTTTTAATGACTTGGAAAGAATAAAATGCCAAAGAATTAAATGAAATAAGTTACAAGATTAAATGAACGTTCGACTTTCGGATAGTCATCAATACTTTTGACAGAGAGGGGAACTCATGGTGAGGAATAATGCCCAAAGGGTTACACAAGTCCAAAAAGCTGCGGAACCATTGCTTTATATGACCACATCGTACTACTACCAATGCATGTGATGTATTGTGATGAATGGTTTGTACTGAAACTGAAATCTCGATTGCAATGTAAATTGTAGTTGACAATAAAGTTGATTTATTGATTACTGCTGCTAAGCCCACAATATTAGTGAGTGACTGGGTCAGCACTTCTTCTAGCTCCATGCAGAGTAGACATGAAGCTGTGTTTTTGGCCCCAAAATGGGAAAAGCTCTCATAAAAAGACTAGATGTAGCTATAAAAAAAAAAAAAAAAAACACAATAGATTTAACTCTATAATCATTGTCTGATCATCGACTGTGTTCCCAGACATGGAGAAGAAACAGATATCAAAATCTATTCAGAACATCTGATACAGAGTTTACAGCCAGGAGGATTAACTAAGCGCAAAATATCCCTCCTTAAAGTAAACCTACGAAAGAGGTCATAATAACATTAAAGAACCAGAAATATGTCATTACATCTATAGTTTTTTGTTATTAGCTTAAAAAAAGTATGTTTTTATTTTCCACATAAAACAATTTCCTATAGAAGGAAATCTATGTTTCTTAATTAAACTTTTTTGTCTTTAATTTAACGCTGTAAAGCCCATGGAAGAATTTTCATAAACTTCACATCTTTTGAAACTAGAGTCGTCACAAAACATTAAGAAAAAAAAAACATAAGCTTTGGAATAATTGAAATCAAATTATGTGTATGAATTGTGATGCTTAAGGCATTTCTGTATTATATTAAATTCAGTTCCATCTATATTAGCAGCAGAGCCAGGGCCATCTCCAAGGACAGCTCCCACCCTGGCTCCACCCTGTTTGACCTGTTGCCCTCTGGAAGGCGCTACAGGCAAATGAGGATCAGGACAAACAGACTCAAGAACAGTTTCTTCCCCCGAGCCATTGCCGCCCTCAACTCCGACCTGCACTGACGGACACTTTTCACCTGGTTTGCATTATTCCCCAAGCCATTGCCCCCCCTCAACTCCGACCTGCACTGTCGGTCACTTTACACCTGTTTTGCACTATCCCCCCCCCCACAATCTGTGCCAGTACTGTTTTACATTTCCTTTTCACTGTTTACATTTCCTTTTCACTGTTTACATTTCCTTTTAATATATTTATATATATTTTTTGTAACTGTTTACATTTCCTTTCCTTTTAATATATCTATATATTTTTTATATATTTTTAATTTTATTTTTATTTCACGGTAGCTGTTATGGAAGTCCCAAATCTCATTGTATTTGTCACAGAATATAATGACAATAAAGGCTTTTTGACTTTTGACTTTGATTAAATTCTGTGTGATTTAAAGCTACAGTGTGTAATAATTACAGGGATATACAGTCAGAAATGTAATATATTATACATAACTATGTTATTTATCATCATCTACGAGCTCAGCTTCTTAACCTTAATATTTGCGTTGCCTTAAAATTCGTTATTTATAATTACATAGGAGCGGGTCTCGCAGCCATGGAGGCAGACATCTTTGCGCTACAGCAGCGCAGAGCCAACAAACTAGCGATTGCGAGATCGCCAAAACGTCACCAAAACGTCACAATGATGTAGAAAAAATAACGGGTATATTTATTATCTTAAGTCTACATGAAATCTATACCCTACACAGACTAATGAAATACTATCTGTAAAATTATCTATGTAAACAAACCTCATCACTTGAGAAGGTAGGTGATGAGGACATCATGGAAGACATTTTGTCCCGTAACGCTCGCTGTACTGTTGGAGGGGAGAAGCGGTGGGGGGGAGATGTTCATGTTGCTGCGGTCTGCAGTCTGGACGTTAGATGTCGCTGAAAATTACACACTGTAGCTTTAATATAGATTTCCGGTTCACTACATGATTGTGTAATCAGGATTTCCAAAACACAACTCTCCCACCAGTGATGTAAAAGTCTCAAAAACTCAAATAACACACTTGATGTTTAAGGCTTGTAAATATAAAAATAAATCGTTTCTTGTTTAAAATAGCTAAAATTCCCATTGCAGATACTTTAAAGAAATAAGTTGTCATTTATTGAAACGTCATGTTGTATTAGCCACTCTGAAATACTTTTATATAGCTGGTCTTAGGGTAAACTGGCTCCTTGGATTTAAAAGGTTACAGAAGATCTATGTAATGCAGTTCTTCCTGCTTTATCCAGAATGACTCACAACAATAAAAAAAAAAAAATAAAAAAAAAATAAAAATAAAAAAAAAAAAAATATATATATATATATATATATATATATATAAATATAAAACAAGTTTTCCAATATTTCACAGTTGTCCAATGAAGTCAGGTGAAAATTATATAATCCACATATAGGAAACATTGATTTTTAATCATTTTTCACTGCATGAAAGGGTTAAACTGTGATGTGTAAAGTAAAAAAATCAAAATTAACTCTACGATCACTCCTTAAAGCCATGTTTCTTTATGGACAAGTTATAAGACCATGTCAGTCCCTGAACTTCCTGTCAAATACCATTAAGTATTTCACATTAGAGCTCTACATTAACATCTCTGGGAGTGAGAAAAGCCTATAAAAGTTGCCACTCTGTAGAAAAGAAGGACATGCCTTGCTGAAAGGCACGTAAGAGCACTGCAAGAAAGATCAAACATTTGGGAGGTACTTTTTAAATACATAAAATAAGAAATTAGGGACTTTTTTTGTTCTGTAGCAAAATGCAAATCTCTCCCATCAACAATCTGAGTTTAAACTCAATCTCCAGCTGGCTGAGAACTAACTGTTCTACTGGGTGTCATAGATACAGCTGGAAACAGACCAAAATTTGGTCTAATGTCCAAACGTTCAGCCTTGATAACTGGACTCCAGGTGAAACATAAATACATCATCGTGCACTGACTCCTAGCAGTAACCATTAGGAGTCTTTGCAGGATAGCGTCCTCTGGAATAAATAAAGCACTCAACATTTATTACTCCTCCTGCAGAGTCTGTGTTTTAGCAAGAAGACGCTCGGAGTTCCCCGGTGAGATGACATAACCCTTTCCTGCAGGAAGCCACGTCTGCAGTGCTTGTGTCCAGCTGCCAGTCTCCAAGAACGTCACCAAGATGTCAAACACTGTGGAACAAGAGAGAACGTTGAAAAACAAACAAGCAGATGAGTTTAAGAAAAAATATGAAACTGCCACTCATGGCGTTCTCTCTTGCCTTGATTAATAGCGAGGATCTTGGAGTGGAAATTCTTTACGTTGCTTTTCTTCACCATGTACTCGTCTATAGGGAGCCTGGCTGTGTGGATGCCCAGCTCTGCGGCTCTTGTAAGGCTCAGCTTCTGCAGAAGAGGGACGATAAAGCTGATATTCATTAATGAGAAACTAAATGAAGGAGATGCACGGATTAAACAGGCAAAGAAAAAGCAAGTTAGTCCTTTTTAATGTACTGATTGTGAGAGTCTGTGTTATTTCACCTTCTGAATACTTTCATCCACAAGGCCGCCCAGGACGTAGACTTTGTCAACATCCACCGTCTCCAAAGCTGTGATAATTACGAATAATGAAAACTGATACATTATCTGCTCTGCATGTTCATTAAATCTACATTTTACTGGGTTTACTGCTGAAGGCATAAAATTATTATAGAGAACCCTTCATATTTTAGAGACTTTAATGTTAATTGGAATAAATATACATCGCTGCCTTGCACTGAGAAGGTCCTGGGTTTGAATCCCAGCCTTAGATCTTTCTGCTTGGAGTTTGCATGTTTTTTCCTGAATGCATAAAATTGGTGCTTTAAAAATCAATTGTGGGTATTTTAAGTAATTTAATTGTATAAAAATATTTGTAGCGTAGATCAACAGTTATAATATGAAATCACAATTTCTTAAATACTTTTACATACAAATACTTTTTGAAGCATTTAGTTGTGTCATATTTTTGGTCCTATAGTCAACTTTGAAATAAATAATCTGTCACTATCTTAAAATCCTAAAATATATTATCAATAAATACTTTCTGAGAAGATTATGTAATGACAAAATTAAACAAAAACGTAATCATATTTGCTTTAAAAATGCTTGATTTAAATCATTACTTTCACATTTGCTAAATTGCGTATTTAATCAATGATAGAGTTTTGTAAATATGTTTTTTTTTTTTTTTTTTGTATTGGATTAATCTTCATTTAAGTTTTAAATATCAAATACTGTTTAAGGACCTGTTAATACATTTACTTGTTGCACCTTTGGCCAAACGTTTGATCTAATAGCGCCATCTGGTGGCCAAAAACCGCCACAAAAAAGCTGCTGGTCCAAAGATTTGGACCAATAGAAACCAGGTGCATCTTAATTAAAATAATAATAATAAAAAAAACAAAAGTTGCAGTAAAATTTCAAAGTCTATTAATTTCAGTTATTCAATCAAAGGTGAAACATACTTAAATTATATTTATCATGCAGAGTGGTGGACTGTTTGATTCTGTTCTTTCTGATTATTACAGTTTATATAGATAATGAAATTCTCTCTAAGGGAATATTAAACAACCAATTCATTTTAATTCAGAAATTATATCTTGAGGCTATGTTATGATAACAATTAGGGAACAATAGACTTCAGACTTGACCTTGAACCCTTTAGAAGAATGTAAAACCCCAAGAAAAGTGAGAACAAGAAGCTAATTGTTCACACAGTAATGTATGCAAGCACAAAAAGGGAAAGTTAATTGGAAGAAAAGAATGTTGCAGAGAAAGGTGCACATTATTATGCCTACAATAAATACATTTAAAGAGACATTATGTACGTTTTTACGAAATATATCTTCATGATCAAAGCGTTTCTTGATGATCAGACTGACACCTCAGTAGCTCAGCGCCGATGCATCTATGAGCCTGTAGCTTATTTTCCTTAATATATACATGTTTTTAATTTAAGTAACTTTCGATAAAAGTTTTCTTTTTTGGAGATCTAAGGAACTAAGTGAGTTTTTTCTGACCTTTTTGAGCATCAGGGGTTAGGTAGACAACAGTGTCTGAAGGGAACAGGTCTAAACAGCTTTCCTCTGTTATTTCCATCTAGAATAAAAACACAAACAAGTGAGAGATGAGCAACAACAAGTCTGGAATTAAATAAAGTAAGATGTCTTGTCAAATTTAGCTGAAAAATTAAATATAATTTCAATAATTCATGACAGTTCAATGGAGAGTATCTCTATTTTTATGATAATAGGTTATTTAAGCGTTAATCACATTGTAGTTGAGGAAGCCATCATTCATTCTAACACACTCCTGGTAGAGTCGACTGTCCTCCTTCAAGTCTGTCAGGAACAGGTGGAACGGCCGAGTCGCCTTTTTATTGGATCCATACAGCCGCCTCAACTGGCCTGCGAGTCGGCTTATCTCCTGAGCGAGAGGGAAACCGGTTCTTTACTTTATAATTCTAAAGAAATGTTTAAAAGAGAGGAGGATCTACCAGACACCTTGTCTGACATGCAGTTCGTCATGCTGAGGTCCACGCAGAGTTTGAGCCCCGTGGACCGAGCCTCCGCTAAACGCTCCTTAGTAATGGCCTTCATGACTCGTTTGGTAAACTGAGCAGGGTCTGCATTAGCACCTTAACGGAAAAAAAAGGAATATTAAAGTTGACAAATCAGATTAAAAGTCCTAGAGTTAATAAACTTAATTATATTCCATCTTTACCTGCCTCCTGGGACCGATTTAACCTCCTCCTCTGTTTTTCTTCTTTTCGTTTGCTCTTCTTGGCTGCCAGCTGCCTTTCCCAGTGTCTCTGCTTCCTCAGTACATTCTTCTGCTCATTCAAAAGAAATAGACCATCCCTAGCATGAGACACAGTGGTGGCAATATCATGCTGCAGAATATTTATCACTCAGCAGAGGCAGGGAAGTGGATGTTTATCGATCTGATATCTGATTCTCTATTAAAGCTGTTGAGAGTAAATCCTCCAACTACTTGGCAAGCAACAAGCATCTGTAGGATGGAAGCTGCTGGAAAAACTTGGAATAACTTGAAACCTTCTATATAAACTATTATTTCACCTGCAGTACTCCTACATATCAACTCATTTTAGTGCAGTGCCATAATAGCCACACTTTCTGCAGTTAGCCATTGCAAACACAACAATTTGAAGTCCCTCTAAGGTGGAAATACACCTGCTTATCAGAACATTGGAGACATTAAGTAACTTTACTGAAATGGGGGTCATTTATGCTAAATCTTTTCCCACAGATTCTGCATGCAATAAACCCATATGAATCCGATTGCTGTGCAATATAGTATAAAATAGAAAAATATGCTATAACCAGCAAAATTCCAGTTTATAATGTTCCATTACTGCTAAAACTGTGGATGCATGGTTGGATAAAATAAAAACACAATGCTCGATATCTCTATTTATGCATTTTTGTGAGATCTTCTTCACCTGTCCTACTTACAGAACATGCAGCATGGTCTTTGTGAGCTTTTCTCTCCTCTTCACCAGCCTCCAAGTCAATGCACAGCAGCTCCATCAGCCCTGACACCACATCCAGCTCCTTCTCACACATTTCTGAAGGAAGGTGTTGCTGTTCAGCCATCTGTTGCTTTGCAGGCTCCAGCGGCATCTCCTGCACAAACGAAAGCATGTTTTTTACTTGCAAATCTCTAAATGTCTCTGCTATTCCAAGGAAATGTCACGTTTGGGATTGCTATTACAGTGGGAGGTGGTTGAGAGTGTAACTCTTGCAGGATTTTTGTTGGTTTCCTCCCACAGCTAACTCATTATCATTATAGATTCCTTGGGATTATCTTAGTCTAAGTTTAGCCCGTTAAAAGCGAGTAATTCAAGGCACAGATAGAGAGAAGGAAAAGAGCGAGCTACATGTGATACACGCCTGATTTTAAAAGGACCTACCGGTACTTCCTGGTTGCCTACACGTGGGTGTCCACGTAGATTGACGTCAGAGTAAACAAAAATATCAATTAAAATTGAAAAAAGGAAACATATTTCTGATCCACTTTATTAGAAAATAAGAATGATTTAATAATGCATCGTTGCGATGAAAACATTAGTTTTCTTAACCTCCGGGAATGTGAACGTTTCAGTTGCGTTAAACTACCAGAAGGGGGCGCTGTCCGATATAAATAAAGTTAACAGTAATAAACAGTAACACACTAAGTCACACATCATTTAGGCCTGTACAAAGGAAAGCGTTAATTTTGCCTATGTCATCAAAGGTGTGGTCCAAAAAATGCCTAAGTCATTTATTTAATCTTAGTCATTATGAAAAGAAAAAAGTGTTCTTATTATGTCAAACATCATCCTTTGATACATACTTACAGACTTAAATTATTATTTTATGTGATCATTTAAATTTCTGGGGGAATATTTTGTGTTTCCTGGAAAACCTGGAAAAATGACTTATGCGATTATTTTAAGAAGGTGACGATATGCAATAACAGAGATAGTACATTTAATTTGAAGTCAAATTCAGTTAAATCTTTATCTTCTAAGTGGGTAACAACATTCATTATTAAGAGCTTTATTAACAGAATATATAATATAAAATTAACTTATTAAAGCTGAAAATGCCATACTGAATTGTTTCAAAAGCAGCACAATTGAAAACAGAAAAAATGGAAATGATTATCATAAGGCAAAGTAGATTCACAGATGTACTAAAAAAAAAAAAGTTAAAATGTCATGATTTTTTTTTTTTTTTTTTTTTTTTTTTTTTGCCTAATTGGATATCATATGAGTACGTAAAGAAGAGTTAGAGTGAGGAAACTGCAGTATTGAACATTTAAATTTCTATGGTTCAGTATAAACACTATAAAGCAAACGTTTGACACCCTGAAACTTCTTGGCTATGGCTTAAATGGATTATATTTTTTCTGTACTTAATTGACTGTAGCGTATTCACAAAACATCTCCCGCATCTGTTTAAAATTTGACATTTAACACTCAGAATAATGAATTACCCTATTTCGATGGACCGTGAACGCACCGTTTGGGCAGTTTAAGTTCACCCCTCTGTAATTATGCGTGCGCAAGACCATCAAATGAGGTATTTAAACGGTGAGTACAGGTTTTTATGTTAAATTATTAATTTTGTTCATTCAAAAATGTTCATATTTATTTTATTACATAAGTAATATCACCCCATAAAGCTTCTACGGGTGTCACATTTAACTTCTTGATGTTTACCTAGCTATACCGTGTTAGCAAGGTCAGCTCTAACATTATATATAAATTATTTCGAATTTCTTATCCATTTATAAATTTTTTATTTGTTTTATTTTTGCAACACTTCTAAATTACAAGTTTAGTAAAACCCAAAATTCAACTGTCCTTATGCAAAGTAGACGTGTGAAGGAATGACAACTGATGCTAGGTGGTTTAGGAAGCCCTTATATTTTGGTTTTTAAACCTAATAATTTTCTGACTATGTTTTTATTAGTAATATTTTTTATCATGAAGAAAATATGGATTGTTTAAGTTGTTACGTCGGTAAAAAAAAAAAAAATAAGACTAATACGTTTCATCTGCTGTGCTTGGATTTTATGATAAGCACATTTTCTTTCCATTAGGAGTAAATTGTCAAGTGATACAATTTTTGACTTGGAAATTTACTTTTTTTTGAATAGCCCAGTTTAAAAAACCATGGAGAACCCAGTATTATTAAACATTATTTTCAGGAGGCCTCTTGGCTTTCAATCTGTTAGAGATTATCTAAATGTCTGTTAGAAGGAACATATTCTAATGCCCTAGTTTCTAGTCGGTAGTTAAAATCGGTGCACTCGCGAGCTGTTTTCATATCTTAGATTATTTGATGGCAGTGTATCTATGTAAAGTCAAAATATCAATCGTTGCTATAGAATATTATAAGAGCAATTTATTTTCAACAACAATTTATACTTCAGATGAAAATGTGGGATTCTGCCTTTGCTGCTCTAAGCATAGCTCTTGGGCGGCCAATGAGAGACGAGGCACGAATTTGCAATGCACTATGGGAGATGATATACAATTTATAACTCCTATTAATGTGTTTACTGGTTATATTTTGCAAACAGGGTTCATGAATTAGTTATATTAGTTGTTATATGTAGCGAATGATTGGAAACTGTGATGCGAAATATTGCATACTATTAAACACATACAAATTCACCACATGGTGTATTAAAATAGCACATTCCATAGTAACAATCAATCATACATAGCTATTTAGATTTTAAAATGGGTTTGATATCGGTATGTGGTTGTATTTTACTACAAATGTGTGTAGAGCTGCGCGTGTTGTCTGCACCATCACTAAGATGGCTGTGACGCTAGTACTTATAGGTGGGGATGAGCAGAGAAGAGTTAAGACTATACTTTCAGGGATCATTTCTATAGTTATTGACTTGAGAAATGTGCTTCCAAACTGTATGGTCTCGCTAACCACGATGATGAGGTTGTGATGCTCCTTCCTGAGCGCGATGCGGGTTAAGAGAGATGATTCAGTTCATGTGCTTTTAACCATTGATGACCGTTCGCTGTTTCCTAGGGAACAGCGAGGGGAGGAGTATGTTCAGAGTGGTTTCCGGAAGAGGTATAAAGTTAAATTAAAAATGTAACAGTGAGCATGAGTGAATCACTACGTTCTCATACATTACAGTATGCTCTTAAGTTGTTAATGGTGAGACTGAGTTACGTATTGTGAATGAGACTAATTTGGAGAAAGTAATTTCAAGTCATGTTTTGATAACATGAGCTCTTTATTTTAGAGCTCTTTATTTTAGAGTATAACTTAACTATTTTACCTACACGTGTAGAGCTCAAAGCTTAGGGGGGAAAAAGTCCGGTCATTTTCATGATAAAAACGTCTGAGAATAGTTTGAATATCAAGTTATTACATACTGTTCGATAAATAAGTGTTTCTAATTAAGAGTCATTTTATTTGAGTGTGCTTTACTGAAGACATCCGTGTTTGTCAAAGAACACTACTGCAATCTACCGGTTCGTGACGTCACAAACTGATGCGAAATATTACGTCCTATTAAACACATGCAGATTCACCACATAGTGTTAAAATTGTACATTTCATAGTATCTGTCAATCATATCTGGATTTTTAAATGGAGCTGATATCGGTATGTGGTTGTAATTTACTGCAAATGTGTGTAGAGCTCGACGTGTTGTCTGCACCATCACTAAGATGGCTGTGACGCTAGTACTTATAAGTGGGGATGAGTAGAGAAGAGTTAAGACTATACTTTCAGGGATCATTTCTATAGTTATTGACTTGAGAAATGTGCTTCTAAACTCTATGGTCTTGCTAACCACGATGATGAGTTTGTGATACTCCATCCTGAGCGTGAAGCGGGTTAAGAGAGATGATTCAGTTCATGTTTCTTAACCATTGATGACCGTTCACTGTTTCCTAGGGAACAGCGAAGGGAGGAGTATGTTCAGAGTGGTTTTCGGAAGAGGTAAAAAGTTAAATTAAAAATATAATAGTGAGCATAAGTGATTCACTATGTTCTCATACATTACAGCTTACTCTTAAGTTATTAATGGTAAGATTGAGTTATGTATTGTGAATTAGATTAATTTGGACAAAGTAATTTCAAATCATGTTTTGATAACATGAGTTCTTTATTTTAGAGTACAACTTCACTATCTTACCGACATGTGTACAACTCAAAGCCCAGAAAAAGAAAGTCCGGTCATATTCAGGATAAGAACGTCTGAAAGTACTTTCAATTTCAAGTTATTACATACTGTTCAATAAATAAGTGTTTTTAATGAAATCATTTCATTTGAATGTGCTTTTCTGGAGACATCAGTGTTTGTCAAAGAGCACTACTGCAATCTACCGGTTCGTGACGTCACAAACTGATGCGAAATATTACGTCCTATTAAACACATGCAGATTCACCACATAGTGTTAAAATTGTACATTTCATAGTATCTGTCAATCATATCTTGATTTTTAAATGGAGCTGATATCGGTATGTGTTTGTATTTTACTGCAAATGTGTGTAGAGCTCGACGTGTTGTCTGCACCATCACTAAGATGACTATGACGCTAGTACTTATAGGTGGGGATGAGCAGAGAAGAGTTAAGACTATACTTTCAGGGATCATTTCTATAGTTATTGACTTGAGAAATGTGCTTCCAATCTGTATGGTCTCGCTAACCACGATGATGAGGTTGTGATACTCCTTCCTGAGCGCGATGCGGGTTAAGAGAGATGATTCAGTTCATGTGCTTTTAACCATTGATGACCGTTCACTGTTTCCTAGGGAACAGCGAAGGGAGGAGTATGATCAGAGTGGATAACAAAGTGGTAAAATATAAATTTAACTCAACTCTTACAGTGCACACCTGAATTATGGATGATGACAGAATTAAGTTATGAATTGTGAAAGAGATTAATTGTGAGAAAGTATTTTAATATAGCGTTTTGATAACATGAGCTCTTTATTTTAGAGTACAACCCAACTTTGTGGCCTACAAGTGTAGAGCTCAAAGCTTAGGTAAAAAAAGTCCGGTCATGTCCAGGATACAAACGGCTGAGAGTACTTTAAATATCAAGTTATTACATACTGTTCAATAAATAATTGTTTTTAATGAAGAGTAATTTCTTTTGAATGTACTTTTCTGGATACATCAGTGTTTGTCAAAGAACACTACTGCAATCTACCGGTTCGTGATGTGATAAACTGATGCGAAATATTACGTCCTATTAAACACATACACATTCGCCACATGGAGTGTTACAATTGTAAATTTCATAGTATCACTCAATCATATCTGGATTTTTAAATGGGTTTGATATCGGTATGTGGTTGTATTTTACTGCATATGTGTGTAGAGCTGCACGTGTTGTCTGCACCATCACTAAGATGGCTGTGACGCTAGTACTTATAGGTAGGGATGAGTAGAAAAAAGTTAAGACTATACTTTCAGGGATCATTTCTATAGTTATTGACTTGAGAAATGTGCTTCTAGATAGTATGATCTCGCTAACCACGATGATGAGGTTGTGATGCTCCTTCCTGAGCGTGAAGCGGGTTAAGAGAGATGATTCAGTTCATTTGCTCCTAACCATTGATGATCATTCACTGTTTCTTTAAAAACAGTGATGGAAGGAGTATGATCAGAGTGGTTATTTAAATCTGTTTAATACAAAAATGTTATTCATATTAAGTAAAGGAAGTTTGCAAAATATAACATAATCCTTTCAAATCCAGCATTCCTCTGATTACTCTCAAAGAAATGGGGAAAGCAGAGCTGAAAGGGCAAAAACAAACTTGTGATAAACTAACAACAACAAAAAATTTCCTTCATTTTTAAGTCAATTTATATTCTGTATTCTTCAGTCTAACTCACTAATCCTTATCTAGTACAGTATACTGAACACAAAGCTTGACATTTGTGAATAGATTAGGTACATTTTTATCTCCCAAAGGAGGTTATGTTTTCAGTCCAGTTTGTGTTTGTCTGTCTGTCTGTCTGTCTGTGTGCAGGATAACTGGAGAAGTTATGAATGGATTATAATGAAATGTTTAGCAAAGGAGCAACAATCCATGAAATGTTGGCAGAGGTGGGAGATGTGGAGCCATCAAGTCATCTCTATGTCCTGTAGTTGTTCTACCAGCCACTGAACCAGGTGAGTCCAATCTGCACAATTTAATTCACTATCATATAAATATTCATTTCAGATCAGCTTCATTCATTCTGTGTCAGAACAATAAACAACTTTCCATGTGTTTATTTATTTTATTTTATTTTTTAAATAATGGAGCTGACAGATTTGTCAGAAATCGGGCGCTGGAAGGCATGCTCCAAAAGTTGTCTATTATTTTATGTTTAGATGCTGCAGAGACAAAACTCTTTCTACACACACTTGCTTTACACACCACTTTATGACATAAATATGTTTTTTATTGTTAATTTGTAAATTGTAGTAGACCAGGAGCTTCATTATTATTGTTTACAATAAAAAAACAAATTAAATTTATTTTAATCCCCCTGAAGGTTTTTTTTTTCAGAGTATGAGTAAAACTGAATCAGTTACAGCGGCCTAGAGGTGCAAATATGTGAATACATGATTGCACAGCAAATTCAAAAGGTCCTGCAAACTCAAAGCTGTTGGAAATTTTATGGCTTCTTGATTTTTATATGTGCATTAATTTTACTTTGTGTACGTAGAGCTCTATATGCTGTCTGCACCACTGCTGAGACTGTTAGGACCTTAATATTAGTAGGTTGGAGAGAGCAGGTTGATGTTAAGACTATACTTTCAGGGATCATTTCTATAGTTATTGACTTGAGAAATGTGCTTCTAACTAGTATGGTCTCGCTAACCACGATGATGAGGTTGTGATGCTCCTTCCTGAGCGCGAAGCGGGTTAAGAGAGATGATTCAGTTCATGTTCTCCTAACCATTGATGATTGTTCACTGATTCCTTTGGAACAGTGATGGAAGGAGCATGATCAGAGTGGTTATTTAAGTCTGTTAAAGACAAAATAAATCATATTAAGTAAAGAAGGTTTGAAAAATATAACATAATCCTTTCAAATCCAGCATTCCTCTGATCACTCTCAAAAAATTGGGTAAAGCAGAGCTGAAAGGACAAAAACAAACTCTTTTGAACTAGAAAGTAAAATAAAAGCTCTTGAGTTAATTAAAATTCCACATTTTAATGGAGCTGACAGAATTGTTGAATCACTCCAACACCCCATTAGAAATAGGAAGCCATGCTCCAATTCAACACGACAGTTTTAAAGTAGGAGTTGCCTATTTTATGTTTAGATGATGTAGAGACAAAACTCTTTCTACACACACTTGCTTTACACACCACTTTTTGACATAACTATGTTTTTATTGTTTATTTTGTAAATTGTAGTAGACTAGGAGCTTCGATATTATTGTTTACAATTACAAAAAAAATTTAAGGTATTTTATTCCCCCCAAAGGTTTTTTTTTCAGAGTATGAGTAAAACTGAATCAGTTACAGCGGCCTAGAGGTGCAAATATGTGAATACATGATTGCACAGCAAATTCAAAAGGTCCTGCAAACTCAAAGCTGTTGGGAGTTTTATGGCGTCTTGATTTTGATATGTGCATTAATTTTACTTTGTGTACGAAGAGCTCTATATGCTGTCTGCACCACTGCTGAGACTGTTAGGACCTTAATATTAGTAGGTTGGAGAGAGCAGGTTAATGTTAAGACTATACTTTCAGGGATCATTTCTATAGTTATTGACTTGAGAAATGTGCTTCTAACTAGTATGGTCTCGCTAACCACGATGATGAGGTTGTGATGCTCCTTCCTGAGCGTGAAGCGGGTTAAGAGAGATGATTCAGTTCATGTTCTCCTAACCATTGATGATTGTTCACTGTTTCTTTAGGAACAGTGAAGGAAGGAGTATGATCAGAGTGGTTATTTAAGTCTGTTAAATACAAATTTAGCATTACTTTTATATAGGTGTTAAGTGTGCAGTTTAAGACTCTACTTTTAACTTAAATTAAGTTTGACATTTGTGAGTAGATTAAGTACATTTTTACTTCCTAAAAGAGATAATGGTTTTAGTCCAGTTAATGTTTGTCTGTCTGTCTGTGTGCACAATAACTGGAGAAGTTATTTTCAAAGCATTTGATGCCTTGATGGTGTTTTAATTTTGATATGTGCATTAATTTTACTTTGTGTACGTAGAGCTCTATATGCTGTCTGCACCACTGCTGAGACTGTTAGGACCTTAATGTTAGTAGGTTGGAGAGAGCAGGTTGATGTTAAGACTATACTTTCAGGGATCATTTCTATAGTTATTGACTTGAGAAATGTGCTTCTAACTAGTATGGTCTCGCTAACCACGATGATGAGGTTGTGATGCTCCTTCTTGAGCGTGAAGCGGGTTAAGAGAGATGATTCAGTTCATGTTCTCCTAACCATTGATGACCGTTCACTGGCTTCTGTAGATCAGCGATGGAAGGAGTATGATCAGAGTGGTTATTTAAACTTGTTAGAGACATAATTAATATTTATCTTATGTAAGAGAGGTTTGCAAGATATGACATAATCCTTTCAAATCCAGCATTCCTCTGATTGCTCTCAAAGAAATGGGGAAAGCAAAGCTGAAAGGACAAAAACAAACTGTTATGATAAAATAGAAAATAAAATAATAGCTCTTGAGTTAATTAAAATTCCATATTTTAATGGAGCTGACAGAATTGTTGAATCACTCCAACCCCCCATTAGAAATAGGAAGTCATGCTCCAATTCAACAGGACAGTTTTAAAGTAGAAGTTGCCTATTATTTTATGTTTAGATGCTGTAGAGATCTTTCTACACACACTTGCTTTACACACCACTTTATGACATAACTGTGTTTTTTATTGTTTATCTTGTGAATTGTAGTAGACCAGGAGCTTCATTATTATTGTTTCCAATTACAAAAAACAATTTAATGTATTTTATTCCCCCCAAAGGTTTTTTTTTTCAGAGTATGAGTAAAACTGAATCAGTTACAGTGGAATTGAGGTGCAAATATGTGAATACATGATTGCACCGCAAATTCAAAAGGTCCTGCAAACTCAAAGCTGTTGGAAGCTTTATGGCGTCTTGATTTTGATATGTGCATTAATTTGACTTTTTTTGTTGTTGTTTTTTGCTCTATATGCTGTCTGCACCACTGCTGAGACTGTTAGGACCTTAATATTAGTAGGTTGGAGAGAGCAGGTTAATGTTAAGACTATACTTTCAGGGATCATTTCTATAGTTATTGACTTGAGAAATGTGCTTCTAACTAGTATGGTCTCGCTAACCATGATGATGAGGTTGTGATACTCCTTCCTGAGCGTGAAGCGGGTTAAGAGAGATGATTCAGTTCATGTTCTCCTAACCATTGATGATTGTTCACTGTTTCTTTAAGAGCAGTAAAGGAAGGAGTCTGTTCAGAGTGGTTGTTTAAATCTGTTTAATACAAGTTAACTAAATTTTATTTAGTATTCCTTTTAAATAGGGGTTAATTGTACAGTATAAGACCACACTGTTAACTTAAATATGTCTGTGATTACTCTGAAAGTAATGGGGCAAGCAGAGCTTTAAGTTCCAAAAACAAACTATTCTGATAAACTAAGAAAACCAAAAATAATTTGCATTCATTTTTAAGTAAATTTAAATTCTGTGTTTTTCAGTCTAACTCACTAATCCTTATCTAGTACAGTATACTGAACACAAAGCTTGACATTTGTGAATAGATTAGGTACATTTTTATCTCCCAAAGGAGGTTATGTTTTCAGTCCAGTTTGTGTCTGTCTGTCTGTCTGTGTGCAGGATAACTGGAGAAGTTATGAATGGATTATAATGAAATGTTTAGCAAAGGAGCAACAATCCATGAAATGTTGGCAGAGGTGGGAGATGTGGAGCCATCAAGTCATCTCTATGTCCTGTAGTTGTTCTACCAGCCACTGAACCAGGTGAGTCCAATCTGCACAATTTAATTCACTATCTTATAAATATTCATTTCAGATCAGCTTCATTCATTCTGTGTCAGACCAATAAACAACTTTTCATGTGTTTTTTTTTTTTTTGTAAAATAATGGAGCTGACAGATTTTTCAGAAATGTGGTGCTGAAAGGCATGCTCCAAAAGTTGCCTATTATTTTATGTTTATATGCTGTGGAGACAAAACATTTAAATATTATAAAATAATCCATAACATTTACTTTCTTTACATGATACTTCATTAGATAATTATGTTTTATTTTTTATTTTGTAATGGTATTGGACCAGGAGCTTCACTATTATTGTCTACAATGTTACTTTGTGTACATAGAGCTCTATATGCTGTCTGCACCACTGCTGAGACTGTTAGGACCTTAATATTAGTAGGTTGGAGAGAGCAGGTTAATGTTAAGACTATACTTTCAGGGATCGTTTCTATAGTTATTGACTTGAGAAATGTGCTTCTAACTAGTATGGTCTCGCTAACCACGATGATGAGGTTGTGATGCTCCTTCCTGAGCGCGAAGCGGGTTAAGAGAGATGATTCAGTTCATGTTCTCCTAACCATTGATGATTGTTCACTGATTCCTTTGGAACAGTGATGGAAGGAGCATGATCAGAGTGGTTATTTAAGTCTGTTAAAGACAAAATAAATCATATTAAGTAAAGAAGGTTTGAAAAATATAACATAATCCTTTCAAATCCAGCATTCCTCTGATCACTCTCAAAAAATTGGGTAAAGCAGAGCTGAAAGGACAAAAACAAACTCTTTTGAACTAGAAAGTAAAATAAAAGCTCTTGAGTTAATTAAAATTCCATATTTTAATGGAGCTGACAGAATTGTTGAATCACTCCAACACCCCATTAGAAATAGGAAGCCATGCTCCAATTCAACAGGACAGTTTTAAAGTAGGAGTTGCCTATTTTATGTTTAGATGATGTAGAGACAAAACTCTTTCTACACACACTTGCTTTACACACCATTTTATGACATAACTATGTTTTTTTATTGTTTATTTTGTAAGTTGTAGTAGACTAGGCGCTTCGATATTATTTTTTACGATTACAAAAAACAATTTAATGTATTTTATTCCCCCTGAAGGTTTTTTTTTCAGAGTATGAGTAAAACTGAATCAGTTACAGCGGCCTAGAGGTGCAAATATGTGAATACATGATTGCACAGCAAATTCAAAAGGTCCTGCAAACTCAAAGCTGTTGGGAGTTTTATGGCGTCTTGATTTTGATATGTGCATTCATTTTACTTTGTGTACGAAGAGCTCTATATGCTGTCTGCACCACTGCTGAGACTGTTAGGACCTTAATATTAGTAGGTTGGAGAGAGCAGGTTAATGTTAAGACTATACTTTCAGGGATCATTTCTATAGTTATTGACTTGAGAAATGTGCTTCTAACTAGTATGGTCTCGCTAACCACGATGATGAGGTTGTGATGCTCCTTCCTGAGCGTGAAGCGGGTTAAGAGAGATGATTCAGTTCATGTTCTCCTAACCATTGATGATTGTTCACTGTTTCTTTAGGAACAGTGAAGGAAGGAGTATGATCAGAGTGGTTATTTAAGTCTGTTAAATACAAATTTAGCATTACTTTTATATAGGTGTTAAGTGTGCAGTTTAAGACTCTACTTTTAACTTAAATTAAGTTTGACATTTGTGAGTAGATTAAGTACATTTTTACTTCCTAAAAGAGATAATGGTTTTAGTCCAGTTAATGTTCGTCTGTCTGTCTGTGTGCACAATAACTGGAGAAGTTATTTTCAAAGCATTTGATGCCTTGATGGTGTTTTAATTTTGATATGTGCATTAATTTTACTTTATGTACGTAGAGCTCTATATGCTGTCTGCACCACTGCTGAGACTGTTAGGGCCTTAATATTAGTAGGTTGGAGAGAGCAGGTTAATGTTAAGACTATACTTTCAGGGATCATTTCTATAGTTATTGACTTGAGAAATGTGCTTCTAACTAGTATGGTCTCGCTA